AATTTTAGATATGATGGCCATGTTTGATTGATCAGTAACATTTGTATAAATCTTAAAAACCTTCATGTAGATGATTATGTACAAATTCAATTCAACGGCTTTGGAGAAGTCATTTATAGATTTGATGGTGAGTCAGCATCATTTGTACAAATTTGAATGGTCTTCATGACACGGCATGTATAGAGAGGGAAATCAGTATTATTTATATTAACACTATGCATTCTATAGTACAAGTCACACAGGCCATGTATGTGCATTTACTCATTTTAAGTTAAATACAAATTGTTCTTTTAAAATTTAATATCAATTTTCCTTAACCAAAGTCTATTCAATCCTGCTTATTGAATGCTTTGCATCTTAACTGTCAGCAAGAAACTTCCAGATGAAAATTATCTATCACAATGGGCTTTTACATAGGTGGTCATGTACTAAACTTGGGTCAAAATAAGACACACTGAGTGGAATAGTCAAAATCGAGGTAGTACAAATTTGTTTATTAATATGTGTAACATTCATTGTGACATCACAGTGTGCAACATTCAATCTGGATTGTACTGAATCACAATCATTTCATACAAAAATGTATACATACTTCAACATTGATTTTGTCATATGCACTTCTCAGGGCATCTAAATAAATGACATTCCAAAGAATTTAAATGAAGTGAATACTTGCTACTTAAAGGCATATAGAATCAAATTCTAAAAAAGGGGCCCCGAGTGGCCGAGTGGTCTAAAGCGATGTCCGTTACAGATCACTGCCATCTCACCTCTGTCTGCGTGGGTTCAATTTTAGGATTCGGCAAATGTGGATATGTGAGAAAGCATGTCAGTAGCTTCACGTGGGTCGGTGGTTCTTTCCGGTGATTTCCCGGTTTCTTCCTCCACCAATAATACTGGCCGCCATGAATAGCCTATCGTGTGCTGGAAAATGGCATTAAGCCCAACAACAACAACAAATTCTAAAAAATTACACCCATTACTGAAATAGTCAGTGTTGAATACCTACACTACCTATGTGACTTGTACTATAGAATGTTTCATCAAATTTTACTCAGCAAAATAAAAGTTGTTAAAAGGTTCATTTATATTTATTAACAGTGGTCATATGTGATGGCAGATTGGCATCATAAATTTGTTCAAATTTAAAAAGTTTCTCAAGACAAAATGCTTTCTTTCAACGTTTGGCCAATTTTATTTAACAATTATAGAGAAGATGTTTATGCAATCATATTAAAATCAAATCTTCACTGTCCATCATTAAGATCTGACAGCAACTGCTTAGGGGTCATGTTCTGGTGACCTGTGTTATTACCATAACTGCTAATTTTATCAGCCAATTAGATAAAGTCTTATGCCTTTTACATTTGGGAGACTGAGCAGTATAGCTGAAGAGCAACAGTCTGCCTATATATTTTTTATTTCATTGGCATAAACATCATTGTATCTAGTTCTTGACCTAGTTCCAAAATCAGTAACAGTTTTAGGAAACAACTTTTATAAAATATTTTTTATTTCTTTCTCATAGTAAGAATTATTAAGTTGAATCACGGTCATATCTGGTCTAAGTGACAAAGGGCATAACAAACTTCTATTTTTTCCAGAACAATGAACTGTTGACCCTCATCAGAGAATTTGTTTTGCATCTGAATTTGTGTATAACTGTTCTTTTCATAAAAGAATATTCAGTTGGGCTTAAACACTTGACCCATTAAGTTATTATGTTGACCAGTTTGGACTGAAATTTTATTTTCTTCGAATTACTGAATTAAAGTGAAATACAAAAGTGGTCCTACAAAATTCTTGGATAAAACATTTATTGGAAGTTATACTTAATTAAAAACTGGAATATTTGACTGTTGACATAACAGCACTTCGCTGATCATAACATTTGGTTCCATCCATTTCAGATTTCATTAGGATTCAGACTCAGTTTTATTCAGGACTTTTTTTTTACTTGGACTTCTAATTTTTAAATTCTTGTATTATTTTTGGATTTAAATCATAAAACCATAACTTCTTTTTTTTTTCTTTTTTCACTTGGAACAAGATGCATTCTTTAATTCTCTCAGACAAGTTTCTGTAATGGAAGAAATGAGTGCCATGGAAATAGCATCAATTTTTTCAAGCTGACTTGCACTTTGTGTGTGCAACACATACATAAAATTCTTAACATTAAGGCAAGTATATCATAAAAATATTTTTTCAGTATTACTGCAATATCAGAGTAACTGCCTTTGCATAACTTGGAACCTACATGGCATATGTTTATGGATTGTTTCCTGCAATTATCTTATTTAAACTGGAAATTAAATAGATTTTATCATATAGCAATGAACAACAAACAGACATAATATATTGTAGGTCAGTTTTTATGCTAACTTTTAGACCCACATTACCATACCACAGTGGGAAAATTTTTTGATAGCAATTGTTAGAAGATACACTATGGATGATGGGCCAGGTGAACTAAAATTAGAATCTGAATTTGAAATGCTGATAGGTAGACTTTAATCTATTTTTTTTAACAGAAAAAAAATTACTAAAACATTTTTACAGAAAATATTTAAGGAAATACCTCGTACAAGCATTTTCTATTGAACTGATGATGCCAAGTGGTAAAACTATCTCAAGGGAGGTAATTACAGTCTAATAATTTCATGTCAGTTTTTAAGTTGAGTCCCTTTACAATGTCAGTGTCACTGTATAAGGCTATGTATCAGTATTTAATGGCAAAGTTCTAATAATGTAAAAATGAAGAATAGCCCAAAAACCAGGAAGATTAACCCTTCCAAATAAATGTAAAAGTGAAACACAGCAACATAAAATATTAATGGTAAAGATGCTTTTTGTAAAAGGTATATAAAATAACAGATAAAGGTAAAACACATAAAATCCTAATCTTTTTCAAGGACAGAAGGTGTAAAACACAACTATTAAAAGAAAAACTGTCTGTTATTACCAACTCTTCTTAGCAACTGTGGGTAGACAGCATGCAATAGGATAAAGTCACCCATGGCAAAATAAAGGTCAAGTATGGGCAACTGTCTTTTTATATTGTCTGTTCAACAGTACTTATAATTTCTGTACAATAAGTAGCAGTCTCTCTGTCAAGAATATAAATGCATTTAATGACAACACATAAAAAAGTGTCTATGATCTAGATCTGTCACCTATATTAACACTAGCTACGAATAAACCTGTGTACATTTAATGCTGGTATGACAACATATACCAGGAAGACAGCCAAATGGTCCAAAAAGTTTTCCATAGAATTTGTTGTCATGTCTGCATCTTTACATTCTTTCATGCTGACAATAATTCCTCCACTACCACTGTCAAGCAAAGCCAAAAACATCAGTATGCAACTATGGATCTTAAGGTACATCAACACAAATAAACAAGCTTTGACTTCCTGGCTACAGTTAAATTTCATGACCAAGCAAACTTGTTCACCCAAAACACCCACTAGCATGACTACATTTACATTTTTAAAGTCACTCAATATCATCCCATTCCTACTGTACAACATCCCATTCCAACTGTACAACAATGCAAAGGTAGTTTACTTACCCCATCCCATGATCCCTATCCATTGGGTTAGGGAGTGATTGGGAGGGCATTCTGGACCCAAGGTAGCGTGCTCTATCCAGTCTTAGTGGCTATCAACTTGGCAAACCTACAAGCTTCTGAAGAAAAAATGAATTATGTTTACATGAACCTAGTAATCATATCGGTCCCAATAACAATGTTTAATTATAAAATAAAGTACTGCATATTCACTGTCATATCACGAGAAATCAATTTCTATGTAGTCCCTGGTTGCCACAATACATGAATTAAAAACTAGTGAACAAGGATCCATCTGTGAAGACTAAAATACAACATTTTCCAATCATAATATTTAAGTACCAAGAAAATAAGAAAAAAAATGTAACCAAGAAAATAAAAAAATATGCACTATTTCCCTATTTTAAATGTTATTTAACCAAGAAAATAAAAAAATATGCACTATTTCCCTATTTCTATACGTTATTTAACCAAGAAAAAAAATTACATATGCTATATGCATTATTTCCATATTTGTATATGTTATTTAACCAATTATATATATATATATATATATATATATATATATATATATATATATATATATATATATATATATATGCAGTCCATCCATATTTGTATATGTAATTTAACCAAGAAAATAAATAAATATGCACTATTTCCCTATTTCTATATGTTATTTAACCAAAAAAAAATTACATATGCAGTTTTTCCATATTTGTATATGTAATTTAACCAAAAAGATAAATAAATATGCACTATTTCCATATTTGTATATGTTATTTAACCAATTATATATATATATATATATATATATATATATATATATATATATATATATATATATATACACACACACACACAGTCCATCCATATTTGTATATGTAATTTAACCAAGAAAATAAATATGCACTATTTCCATATTTGTATGTTATTTAACCAAGAAAGAAAAAAAAGTATATATATATATATATATATATATATATATATATATATATATATATATATATATATATATATATATATATATACACACACAGTCCTTCCATATTTGTATATGCAATTCAACCAAGAAAATAAATAAATATGCAGTCATTCCATATTTGTATTATGTAATTTAAGTGTGCAATTAGGCAGACAATTTATAATGTATATCATATATATATTGCTAATACATACAGGTGAATCAAGAAATACATACCGGCACATTTAACTATATTGTGATTATGAATTTTAACATAGCTTTAACAATTTTTGAGTCATATTGCTACGTTATCTGCAGTGTGGCAGTTTATAGTGATGTCTAGCACTGGGGCATTATGCTGCAGACATAATATCCTATCACCAGGCCGACCTGTCCTAACACTAACCTCTTAATGCTGAGCGTCAAGCGAGGCAGCTGTTAGTAGTAATTTTGTAAGTCTTTAGTATGACTCGACCGAGAATTGAACCCACGACCTCCCACATCCGAAGTGGACGCTCTAACCTCTAGGCTACCAGAGTGGTTATATTGTAACCAACCTATTGATAATTCAAGCTGCAAACATTAAACAACAGATAAAACTGATCTTTAGCACACACTCTGTCCCTTGAGACTAAATGAATGTAGCATGCTAAAAACAACCCTTCATCATTACCTTATTTAATAAAACATTAAATCCTGCAGATGCAGGTGGAGTATGAACTACATTCATATCTGATCAAAGTTAAAATTACCTACTATCAAAGTTTGTTGCTGAGAAAACAGCAACACAAATAGGTTATTTAGTGTCAAGGCAGTTAGATTAAATAGTATTGCCCAGGAACACATCAATGTAGCCAACAAAGGCTGTCGACTTTGATCCTGTACTCTTCTATCTGCGAGTCCTGCAGACAATGCCAAGCCAAACATTTCTTTATCATAGCAAACATGCAAGCCAACAACAAGCCAACACAACTTCTTTATCATACTGCAAGCCAACAACTGTTTTATCATAGTAGTCCTGTTGGCCAACAATTTTTTTATAATAAAAGTCCTGTATGCCAATACCAATCCAAATTTATAATAGAAGTCCTGTATGCCAATACCAAGCCTAATTTATCATAAGAGTCCTACACACCAACACCATGCTAACAACTTCTTTACTGAAGGAGTCCTGCAAGCCACCACAAATCCAACACAACTTCTTTATTATAAAAGTCCTGTATGCCAACACCAAATCAACTTTTTTTATCATAGGCAAATACTACTTGTAACAAGTTAGCACTATTTGTTATTTATCACCGACAGTTGATACAGACACAGATTATGCAAAAAATTTTCATTGCATTTCAACAACAAAAAATTGTACGAAGTGGATTCAAGCTTCTGGACAATTAGTTACACTGTACATGGATTTGTTCCATTGTTAGTAAGATATCTTTTTCACCCAATGAAACTGTAAATATCAATTCAATATCTGCATTAATTGTCAACTACAAAGAATCAGCTACAAAAATGAAGTATTTAAACATGTTTTTTGAAAATTCTAAATTTTAAAATACGAAAACTTTTTCTGTGTATCTTATATGTTGTCATAAACAAATGTGCGCATCAATATGTTCATGACTGTAAAAACAAAAAACTGATTTATTATTAAATACTATTATTATTATTATTTATTATTATAATTAAATCATAATTTTCATGAGGTTTAAATAATAAAACATTTACACGTATATGACATACAAAATAAAACAAGCATTTAAGTAAAAGTATTCAAAAATTATATTAAATTAAATTTAATTCCTTAAATGCTCTTAAACTGAATCCCAAGCAGGATGTGTGAATGCTATTTTGAAAGCTGTAACAATAGTATGTGCATCCTGTGAAAATTCAGTTTGAAAAGGGTGCTGCAATAGTGTCTATTAACCAGAACAACTCTGTGATAATTTCAGTCAGTACTGAAAATGATTTATTGGTCTGCAAATAATAACCTTATTTTTTTTTACAGTTTTGTTGTTTTTGGTGATTTGTTTTCGTCTCAGTAAAAATGCTTGTATACTCTAGTTATTTATGTTACCAGACCACAATAAATTAAATCAAGTTTCTCGTACCTTATACTTTTACAGTAAATGAGCGAGGGATTGTATCCCTTGTGTTCCATTGGTCCAAGCAAATGCTGGATGGAAGAAAAAACTGCAATGAATATTTTACATGGGAATAAAGCTGAAGAGACTTCGAAAACACACCCTTAGCCCACAGGTACTCAACGCGACCTTTTCTGACATTGGACCCTCTCTGTAATACTATATATATATATATATATATATATATATATATATATATATATATATATATATATATATATATATATATAGTATTACTGTATTACTGAGAGGGTCCAATGTCAGAACGGGTCGCGTCGAGTACCTGTGCCTTTGCCGAAGGCTTCGGAGCTGGGGTGCCAAAGTACATTTGCCTAGCATATACAGAATGAAAAATACTCAGCATATGTGTTCTAAAATCATCACGTGTGATTTATATATATGTTATTACAAATCCACACCCTGTTACTTTCAAACCCGTCGAACCGATGACATATACAATATATATGACAGTTTACCCCAACAGCTCTTTGTTAGCAAATTAGACCACCTACAATAGTTTGTAGGCAATTATCTTGAGATGGTTCAACTGAAAAGAAGCCGACATTATTATCTAGACTAGTGAATAATACTCGTACATAAATTATATTTTACTTTTTTTTAAAGCGGATGCAAAACTGCATAGAAATCGCAGTCACTTGGCTCGAAAAGATTGATTTAGCAGAACAAAATATAGATGCATTATGGGATAGCAAACCATTATTTTTAATACGGATCGCTAGACACAATTGCCTGAACAAAATGATATCCGGGATGTTTTAAATACATATCCGTTTAGCGAGATTCTTGAGTAGAAACGTAGGGTTTTGGAGGAACAAGGAGAATTAACATTACACAGTACGTTAACATGCAAGGGGTACTCGATAGACTTACTTTGTTAAAATTGTCCATAGATTTAAAATTTGGATACATTGCAACAATGCTAAAACTACTTGATTACAATTTATGTGAACGTACGGGAAATCCTATGATAAAATTGTCCATAGGTTAACATTCCAATGGCATCATGGGTGAGACGTGTCACAAGTTTATGGGGACAAGTTTACAGGGACAATATGTCAGACGTTGATAGGACAAACACGAATGGTATGAGTGTTTATTCACATATTGCAATTACAAACATGGCTGTCATAAAGGACGGAGACCTTCAGGGGCGCACGGAGTGTACATGTTCTTAAATTCTGTATTTTACTTTAATAGAGGTACATATTTTTTCATTAAAAATCCATATGTAGTTATTATTCTCACTACTGTTAATGCATTAAAAATAAAAAGTTTACGGTGATGATTTTTTTTTTATGAGGGTAGAGTGCGCCGAAGTCTGCACTCGCTAATGGGGCCGTTGCGTCTAGCGCAAAATTGCCCTGCTTACAAAACACAAAAATACAATACTATATACACAAGAGGGGTAGGATGTAGATAAAAGAGATATACCTGCTTTCACACAAAGCTAATGGTAAGAGTGTTTATAAACTCACCTTACCCTCACATAAATATGCTGTACTATCACATACAAGAAAGGATAGGAGTGTTTAGATACATAAAATATACATAGATATACATACAAGAAAGGATAGGAGTATTTAGATACATAAAATACACATATATATACATACTAGAAAGCATAGGAGTGTTTAGATACATAAAATATACATACATATACATAAAAGAAACGATATGAGTGTTTAGAAACATAAAATATACATACATATACATAAAAGAAAGGATATGAATGTTTAGATACATAAAATATACATACATATACATACAATAAAGGATAGGAGTGTTTAGATACATAAAATATACACTCACACAAGCATGATATGACACCCAAGCAATGGCGTAAAGACGTTTTTTTTTTAAGGCTTAGTTGCAAACTTAGACGTGGCCAGGACAGACACACCCACACACATAAATCGCACATATATGATATCTTTTATTAGTATCTCTCTTTTTCTAGAGATCTGGGTAATCATGAAAAAGAGGCGCTTGGTTTCTGCAACCGATCTTCTTCCTTAGTAGTTGCACCTCCTGGGTTGGTCATTGCAGCATGAACATTGTTGGAGCCCAGATATTTGTGTAGAGACAACGAGCCTGAAATTTGGCTCGCTGGCCTGTTTCCTCTATTCTTCTTTCTCCATATCCGGAATCAAGTCTTTATACTCTTGTTGGATCATTTTCTAGAGTTCTAGTCGAGGCATTGGAATTCTTTCACCTTTACCTCTTGCTCTTTGGCCATTTTCTCCTCCGCCTACGCAGCCTTTATCATCATCACGTCATCATCTGTTCTTTAATGAGCTCCTTCTCTGATTTTAAGGAGCCATTTTCCTTCTTTAAATGTCCATGACTTTGGCTCATTTGTATATACGATGTCGTAGCCTCAACGTGGCTGAGGTACCCGTCCAAGAAGTAGCGGTTCTTCCAATAATGCTATATGTCACGGAATGCTATAAATCCCTTTATTTATTAAATACATGTACTCGGGATTCGTTTTTTGTGTACAACGATATTTGAGGGCGATTTGTATATATTTTACAATATTTCAAAACAGCGATCCGGTTCATCTTATGCAGCACGTGCGAAGTGCTTTTGATGGGAGGAACACATAACTTGCAGGGTTGCATCGTCTGTGTATAAATGCCTCACAGTAACACTAAAATCTTTACATTACGGAATGTCTTGTCAGTGAGCAGTATACTTAAGGACTGGCACATCTTCAGCTGTAGAGATATGTGAGTTATTTATTAATTTTTATTGATATATTTTAAGCTATAACTACTGTACTACAATGTTTATATTTGTATATTTTCTATGTAGCTTCGGCTTATGTAGTGCAATGCAAATATTTTCTATTCTTGTTTTGACTTAGCAAGAGATTTACATAAGCAATATAAAGCAGCATTTTAAAGAAACGTTTAGAACCGTAGGATTCTTATTGAACACGGGTAGTTTCACTTCTGAACCTGTTTAATGCTTTATAATTTTGTGCCAATAATGTAATTGGTATAGTTTATCGTATATAACGTCATTGCGTGGTATAGTATGTGCCCAAGTCATGCATAGTTCACGGTGTTAGATGTATTTTTAGCTGATCAGAGTCAACGAGGTACCAGCTGTATGGCTAACCATTTAAGTTGACCATAGCAGTTGTAATACTGAACCATAGCAGCCGCAGAACTGAGTGGAAAGAGTTGCTCGTCGAGTAGGTCGAGTAACAGGTGATTGGGCTTGTTGACCGATTTGGTAGGCGCTGATGGCTTGAATGACCAAGGAATTGAATGGTTGTCATTGACCACACGAAATGCTGACTACTTGATTGACCAGTGTGGCTGGTAGCCAAGTATGCTAGTGACAGTTTGTATTTGTGTTACTCCTAGCACGTAATCTTTTAGCCGTGGTTAAGTTTTGAGATTTGCTATACACAGTGTTTTAGGAACTTTAAAGATATTGAGTATGATATCTGTCTCTTTCGTTTTCAGTATTTTGATATTTGAGTCAAGTACCTCAGTTTTCAATATTTGAGTGAATACGTTTAACTACATGAGTAAAATACGTCATTTTTACTATTTGAGTAAAACACATCGTTCTTTTCGTCGTGTTAATTTACTGTAAATCATTAACATTTGGTATTCTACTGTGTAAGATCATTTATTCACGCTTTATGTTGCATTATTAGGTTCGTGCGGATTGTATTATTTATTTTTTGTCCAATATTCGGATATTATATAGACGCACGTATTAATCATAATTAATATAATATAATATAGACGCACGTATTAATCATCACCATCATGAGTGTTCTGTTGTAAATCCAAATCCAACCGGGTTATCTTGTTACAGCTGTGTTGATCTTAGTCCAGGGTGTATTCTATGATGTCCAAAGGACTTGTAGCTGTGGGAAGGTTGTTGACTTTGCAGTGGTGGCTAGCTAATCTTCCATATCAACAAGTCGATGGTGAATGACAAGAATGACTGACCACAACCACCACCTCAGTAGTGAAGAGTAGTGATTCCTCAGACAGAATACTGGGGTTTAGAGTTGTCATTACCACAGCCGACACAGCAGCATCCACAGATACAGCCACAACTACAGAGTGGAATAAGAACCTTCAGAGTACCCCAATCGAAGGACTGAGGTTCTGAAGCAACATAACTCCATCTACACTTCCTAATAAATTTTGTCAAAACTATACTTGCTGTGACAATTTCGAGACTTTTTCCTCGAATAAAATAAGTGCAATCTCAATTTTGTATCTTACAGTGCATATGGTGTCTCTGCCCAAAACTTTGTAATAAGTATGATTCTTTTGTTCAATTGGACTTGTCGCAGCATGTATAGATCTGACAAAATATTTACTGGGTAAGTAGAGCCCTCCCCCTTCTTTACTACTACCTATTATCAGCAATCGATTATTCTTGACGACATGAGATTTTTAATCTCTCAGCAGTTGATATTATTTGTGACTGATCATCATGATAAAACATCTTACAGATGACAAGAGAACCAACTTTTAGCATCTTAATAAAATTTCCGTCAGATCATCATCATTATCAATCCCTTAAACCAAGAGGTCGTTGGAGTACCACTGTTGACTTTACAACCTATTCTCTCCATCTTTCCCTGCTCTCAACTACCCTTCAGGAATCTCCAAATCCCATGACTGTCCACTCCTTAGTGTTGTCTACCTTCCCTTTATTGTCTGCCTCTTTTTCTGTACTCATACAAGATTGTTTTTGCCAGTCCAGATGATCTTGAAACATGACCGTACCAGTTTGCGCTTTTTTGCAGTATTCAAGAGGTCTTCATAAGATCCGATGGCTCGTTGGTCATGTTTCACAAACATGCAGAAAGATTTATTTGACAATCGAGTACATCAGCCATCTTTGGAACATAAAGAATAGGCGGTATCTTCAATATTGGTCTCAAACTTATTATAGTTACTGTTGTCAGGCAATCCTGCAAAGTAGTCCTGGTTTGGAGCCCTCATCTGTGATAATGGATACCAGATACTTGAAGCTTGTGACTCTTGTGACTCTTTCCAGCTTCTGTCCACTGACGTTTGTTTCTGCCATTGATGTTGTTTGTCATCAGTTTGTTTTTTCGGCGCTAATTTCCATACCGTATACTGTAGAGATTGTATCAAGTCAGCCAGTTCTTTTTCATTTTCATCTAAACCATCAATATCATCTGCGATTTTTCCTCCGTTGCTGACAGTGCCCTTGTGGTCATGCAAGGCATCCTCCATGATCCTTTCCAGGAACATGTTGAAGAGTGTAGGTTACAGTATGCATCCCTGTCTACCTTACTTATTAATAGTCCTAAATCCCTGAGAGATTATTCAGTTTACCTTGTGTTATGAGGTGTGATTCAGAGGAGGAGGCTGGGAGAACATATGGGTCATGTGACATTGATGGTTCAGTACTGGAAGTGTTGTCCTCTTTCTCTTCTTCAGGAAGCTCCAATCCATCTCTGTTGGGTCCTGGCGTATTGCTGATGGAATGTTTAGATAATGCACAGTTTCTTCTTTGACTCACCTTTCCCAATCTCTTAATGCTGAGCGCCAAGCGAGGCAGCTGTTAGTACCATTTTTGCAAGTCTTTGGTATGATTCAGTCGGGGCTCGAACCCACGACCTCCCGCATCCGATGCGGACGCTCTAACCACTAGGCCACCGGAGCTGTATAGTAGAACTGTATCATATTCATTAATATGTTAGTGTTTTGTAAAGTATAATAAAGAAGCTTTTTTAAAAAAATATACTAAATGCTGCAGATAAAGCAACACAATTTCTAAAATTCTAGCACATCCTCAATTATACGTAATTGAAAGTTATATTTTTCTTAAAGCTTTTTTAATATGCTGATTTTGACATTATCAGCAACATCTTTAACTGATAGCCTTTTAAAATAATTCACTCTGCTACTTATGTTAGTGATGGAAATTGCAATTCTTCTTTTATCTTTAATTAAAATTACATGCCTGAGTCTTTTTATTAACATTTCCAGCATTACTGCCCCTGCTGTTGTTTTTATATATTACAAGGTTTTCTATTCCATTGTCGGTTCCGATATCGTTCATATGATCTATAACCAGTCCTTCTGGAATAGCTCCATGAAATACCTCATAAACAAACCTATGAGATCTGTAGCAGACAAACATTGCAAAATATAATCCGTTAAGAGGTGCCTAATTGGTTAAGATGCAAGATAAAATTAAAAACTTCAAATGTTGATTAAAAAGTGATTTCAGTGGGTAGTATTATCAGCATTATATCCAGCCACTGATCATCTTGTAATAACATCAAAGTATGCAAAATATGTTTACAATCAGTTTAATTGTCAGAAATAAATTTTCCTTTAGAAGAGAGCCAGATTCCTATGTTTGAGAAACAAAGTAATCTTAGTAGAAATACGTTTGGAGTTGATGAAAGTAATTCTAAGGTTTATATATCCTAGAGATATAAGTAAGAATACCTCTCAGAACACAATAAATCTTTTGTTTTATAAGGGATTTTATTGCTGGTTTAATCTTGAATTAGCTAGAAGATAGTATAGCAAGCAAAAACATATTTCTGCTATAGGTGTCTACATGGTTTTAATACAGAGCAGTTAGTAAATTAGTACATCATATATTTATTATACAAACTAAACTGCCGTCAGAAGATGAAAAGTTATTGAATTCTGAAAATTTCAAGAGAAAAATGAAAGTTCCATTTATAGTCTATGCTGACTTTGAGTGTACTGGAATCAGTATCAGGTTTTGTTTAATAATCCTAATATATCATCAGGAACATGCAGCTTGCGGAGTTGCTTGTAAAATAGTGTGTGCAGTTGATAATAATCTGTAACAAGATATTAAGATATGCAGAAAAATTCCAGCTTAGTGGTTATTAAAAAAAATGAGGACTTGGGAAAAAACAGTAACTATGAAAATAAAACTGACTATAGAGCATCAGATTTAAGTCATTTGAAATATGTCACATCTGTGATAAAATGCTAGGAACAGATCGTGTTAGAGATCACTGTCATATTGCAGGAAATTATCTTGATATCTGTAATCTTCACTTTAAAATACTTAATTTTATTCCAGTAGTATTGTATAATCTTTGATGATATGATGCTCATATTATTGTTTATCCAGAAGTTATTAGTCACGCTAAGATTCGCAATAAGATAAGCTGTGTACCAAATAACACTGAGAAGAACATGTCAGCTAATTTTGATAAGCTAATATTCATTGATAGTAAAAGGTTGTAGTATATGTAAAAACTTGACGAAGATTTTGGTGACCAATGATATTTGCTGAAAAAAAGAGGTGAGTGTATTGATGATTGGAGCAGTTTTAATGACATCAGCTTGCCAAGTAGGGAATCATTTTACTCAAAGCTTAACCTGGAAGATATCAATGATGCCAGTTGCAATTGCAATAAAACTATGAAATTAGTTTGACGGGAAGACATTAGGTGATTATCATGATCTGAATCTTGTACTCCTGCTCGCTGATATCTTTGTATATTTCAGAGATGTCAGTTATAATAATTGTGGCATAGATCATGCATGGTATTATTCAGAACTAGGACTAAGCTTGAGCTTCATTCTGACATGTTTTGCTTTATAGGTATCAGAAGAGGTATAAATGTAATAACAGAAAGTATGTCGTAGCTAAGTACATGAAAGAGTACGACGCTAGCAAGCTGTTACGCTATATTCCTTCCTTTAAGTTTCATAATCTTTATGGTTGGGCTATGTCAAAGCCTCTGCACTATGGAGGATTTACGTAGATATGTGTAGAGCAAATTTATATAAAATCAGATCGAAATGTACCCGATAGTTTCGATTGCTTTGTAGAAATAAATCTAACATATCCATATCAACTTCGTAATGATCGCAATGATTATCCATTCTGCGTAGAATCAATGTAAGTAAGATAATATGTTGTCTCAGGAGCAACACGATATAAAGCATAAAATTGTCATTGGATTAAATACTGTTATAAGATCATGGCATAGTACTAAAATATTTATCGTGCGCTAAATTTAAGACGGTCAACCTGGATAAAAGATTAAAATCATTTTAATATACAAACTAGAGCTGTAAGTAAGATAGACTCAGAGTTGTTATTTATTGATACAGATTTCTTTTGTTATGCTATTCAAACTGATAATATAACTGATAATTAATTAATTAATTAATTAATTAATTAATTAATTAATTAATTAATTAATTAATTAATTAATTAATTAATTAATTAATTATCATTATAAATGATTATGATAAGATATTGGATCTTTTTGATTATAAGATCAGAGACAGTTAAAAGATAAAACTGACGTTACGCCTATAAGAAATTTCATTGGATTGAGAAGAAAGATGTACTGTATTAAGCTTAACAACGAAAAATAAAAATAAAAAGGCAGCAAATGGCACACAAAAAAAACAATATAAAAAATATTATTATTTAATGGTTATCTTGCAGCGTTAAACGGATCTCTTAATAATGTTGATATGAGACTTATAAGACCAAATAGAAGTAAGAATATAACTGAAATTTAAATTAAATTAAAATTAATAAAAATGGCCTGTGCAACTTTGATGATAAGTGATATTGTACAGATGGAGTTATTACATTTGCTCATGGGCACAATCAATATTTTATGTAAATGACATATATAAATTGTATGTGACTAATTAATATCAATAATCTTGTAACCAACATTTTCGTGCCTAATAACAAGATACATCGGCTCTGATTTATAACAGGAGTATGTATTGGATTAAACAATCTTCTATTATTCCACAAAGGAATAATTAAGCATCATTCTCCCAATCTTTTATTTTTTTTTTGTCACTATCGTAAAAGAATATCCAGCTTGTTTTGAATTTTTTCAGAACAAACAAATTTAATTTTACCATAAGAATAGCTAGATATCGTAGTGTTAGAAACACCAAAATATCTTATAACATCGCTCATTGATGAAAGGGACTTAGAATAGATCGCTGTGAGATAAAACAAATAACAGGTTTTGGCATATAAAAGAGTGTGTCCTAAGTCATCGACGTCAGTGTATTTCTATGTGTTCTGGAACAAAGATGTTACCCTTCAGAAGCTACCCTCTTCTACCCCAAAAAGAAAGAAAAGGAAAGGATTTCCTCCTTGTTTAACCAAACATTAGGATGTGTTGTCCGTCCTGTCTAAAGCCCCTCAACCCATACGAAAACAACACATTGAAACCGCTTCCAAATGCGTCGTCGATACAAATTCGAATGTTGCCTGTATGTCTTGAAAGGAACACACAAAGAATGCTTAGCAAAGCATCGACACATTCTTTGTTTATTGATCTAAAAGAAAATACCCATCGTGAAAAGAAAAACATTTTAGTGCAACGCAGAGGATTTGTGCACCTGTTGCTAAGACCCATTCTCAAAGGCGGATTGGGACCACTGATTACAGCATTTGTGAGAGCTGATGCTTCCCAAAGGATTGATCGAAGATAAAAAGTTTCAAGAAGATGAAAAGGGCCTCTTGGGTCAAAAAGATCTCGAACGTGAACTCTAGAATCTTATGGAAAGACAAAAACTAACTTTAGTGACTTACAAAATATGGACGGAATTCCATCGTTTACAACACGTACTGCAATCGTTGATGGATCAAGGCGATTTGTCAAAAAAGGAAACATTGCAACGTACCGGTCAAGTGTTGCAACATCTTTAACTCTTTCACCAGAGAACTTAAGATGAAACAGCTCAATCGACCCTGATGAAAAGTGGATCACCACCACCACAACTAACTCAAGTTACCAAAACATGCAAAGCCCCACGGATGCTTGAGGATGATGTACGAGAAGTCCTTCAATCATCGTCAGCAACTCCCATCCCTAGTACTATTTCAGCGTCTTTGTTGACCTCTTCCCCCATACCCCAAGAAGAAGAACTAAAAGTCTGCGTTAGAAAGATAGTATCCACTCTTACTTCGACAGAAGTGAAAAAGAAAGAAGAGTAACCTGAAGTGAAAAAGCAAGACAAAAATCATCCCATTACCGCCACCACCACATCCCTCTCCGTTCAACTCCCGTGGCACGTAGGACATGTAAAGCCGTTTCCAAACCATCACCTCAGCCCATCCAAAGTAGCATCAGTGAAGAGTGGGTCACTTATTAAAGAGAGAAAGAGAGTCTATATGTAGAAATTGTTAGCAAGCATTTACTACGATCAATCCCATCCTGCGGGATAAGGAGGAATTCTGAAACTGTATCGTGCTGCCAAACCCCGACACAAAAATGTCCATTTACCTACAAGAACGATGGTGACAAGAACAAACCCCGTACACCTTACACAAACACATTCGACGAAAATGTTCCAGAAATCGCACCCGAGTGGAGGGCATCAATCATCGATAGCAAGCCGATTTAGCCGATATCACTCATTTGGCCACCTACAATCGTTGCTACAAATATCTGTTTTGTGTTATCGACATCATTTTCAAATTTGTCTGGGTCTTGCCATTAATTTCCAAATTGATCACTGGTTTAGAGTTGAGCCTAAAATCTGGTGTTGAAACAAAGCTGTCATCGCAAACCAACAAAGGCACAGAATTTCTGAACCAAGCTTTCCAAAAAGAATTAAAAGGAAACGAGATATTCATTTTGCCACCACTGAGAATCCAAAAACCAAAGCCAGAT